CTTCCACCCCACCCCCAAGCTGAGGACCCAAGAGGTAGAGAGCCCACACCACAGACAGAGCCTGACACGGGTGGGACGGTGGTGCTGGATTACTGGAAGGAGAAGCAGCGGGGTTGGGTGTGGGGAGGGGGCGTCCCTGTACTTGATGCCCCTGGGCTGCGTGGCCCCGCCCCTGTGGCCTGAGTCACAGCTGACTGGGCCGCGCCTAGCCTGTCTGGGTGACCCAAGCCAGCATAAGGCAATGACTGGGCAGCTCTCCTCATGACCAGCTGGGGTCGGCCTTAGGTGTTTTGACTCAGACCTGCCACAGGCTGTGTGCACAGCAGCCATCCCCTGCCTCTGCCCTAAGAAGAGCCACAGGCCCATAGCTGCCCCTGCCCCAGCACCCACCTCAGAACCTGGGAAGCTACCTGGCCCATCTGATCTGCTCTCTGCCCCAGGCTTCAGGGCCCCACCTGCTGTAGGACCTTCGTCCCTCCCTGGGCAAGCCCAGCCCTTGGGGACACTCCAGGAAACAGGGAGCTTCGCTGCCTATGCAGAGGGCCTCTTGATCCACTGTGGACTGTGACCTTTTTCTTGGTGCCACAAGGAGTTTGGTGGACTGTCTGGACAGGCCTGGCATGGACCGCAGAAGATTGTTGGGGACAGAGACTAAGAGAAGAACATATAGAAAAGAAAAGAAAAAAGCATCAAAAAGGAAGGAAGTGAAGGAGAGAGCGGGGAGGGAGGGAAGGAGGGAAAGAGGGAGGGAGGGAAGGAGGGAGGGAGGGAGGGAGCGAGGAAAGTAAAGAGAAAGAGAAAGAGGGAGGGGGTAGGAGGAGGAAGGAAGGAAGGGAGGGAGGGAAGGAAGGAAGGAATCTTATAAACCTGCCTGAGGCAGTGCTAGCTCTACACTTTACCCAGGAAATCCTGTCAGTGGGAAGTGGGCTTCAACAGCACACTGTACAGAGGGGAAACTGAGGCTTGGCCTGTGAAGGCAAAGTAAGGTAAGAGCAGAAGTCATATTTATTTTTGCCTCTAAGGTCTCCATCTCTCACTGAAAAGAAGTTAATCACGTTAAAGCTGGGACGAGGGGGTGGGGCTGGAGAGATGGCTCAGGGGATTCACAACCTTTTCTAGTGCTGCAGGCACCAGGCACACACTCACTAGCCAGTAAAGCACCCCTACACACAAAATTATTTTAAAAGTTAATATTGAAACAATGGTTAGCAGGTGGCTCTGAGGGTAAAGGGCCGGATGCACAGTCACATGTCCTTGAGCCTAAGAACCCTGGTGGCAGCAGGTGCCTTCCACCCCAGCACTGGGAACAGACAGATTTGAAGCAAGATGGCCAAGTGTCCCAGGAAGAATGGTAAGTGTCAGATTCAGTGAAAATGTCTAAAAAAAAAAAAATAAGGTAGATGGGGCTGGAGAGATGGCTCAGTGGTTACATTTGTTGCTCTTGTAGAGGATCCAGGTTCCGTCTCCAGCACCCATGTGATGGCTCATGTAATTCCAATTCCAGGGGCTACATCATCTTCCAGCCATCAAGGGCGTTGGGTGCACAGACACCACACAGGGAAAACACAGTACACATAAAGTAAAAAAAATAAGTTAAGAAACAAAGTGTAGGAAACGAAAGATGGCTCAGTGGTTAAAGAGTAGGAATACTTGTGCAGATAACCCAAGTTCACGTCCTAGAACCCATGTCAGGTGGCTCACAACTGCCTGTAATTCCAACTCCAGGGGGATCTGACTGGTCTGGCCCTGCAGGCACCTGTACTTACACACACACACACACACACACACACACACACACACACACACACACACACATTTTTAAATAAAATTTTAAAATAATTTTTAAAAATATGTAGGAAGATATAGATACAGGGTTTTATTGTGCAGCCCTGGCTGTCCTGGAACTTGTTCTGTAGACCAGGCTGGCCTTGAATTCACAGAGATCCACCTGCCTCTACCTCTTAAGTGCTGGCATTAAAGGTGTGCACCACCAACACCTGGCTAAGGCCCACGTTTCTATTTCTAGCACCAAAACAAAAAAAGACAGATGGGACAATGAGGTCGGAAGCTCCAGGTGCTCAATTGTGTACAGGACAGAGTATCCAGATTGTGGGCTCGTTGGAACATAAACTATATCTGCTAGGACCCCTTCTCCGACCATCAGGCCTCTTGTCCTAGAGAACTTTTCAATTTTATTTATTTATTTATTTTTAATTTCATATATCTGTTGCCTGGCACCCACAGAGGCCATAAGAGAGTGTCAGATTCCCTAGGACAGGAGTTACGAGCAGCTGTAAAGCTCCATTTGAGTTCTAGGATCCAAGAGCAGCAACTGCTCTCAACAGCTAAGCCGTTTCCTTGGGCTCAGCTTCTAAGTGTGTGATGGATATCAACAACTGGGCCTGTGACTGCCATGCCCCCCACCAAAACAAACCCAGAAACCTCAGCTAGTGCAGGGCTAGCTCCCTGGAGTGCAATGAGTCCTCTGCCCCTTTACAGGGCTGGGCGGAGAACACCGGTTTATTTCCATAAGCTATCTATGGGTCCTCAGACACTGGGGCTCAGAAGCAGCTGCTTAGAGCGAGCCCTGTCTCAGACTTCCACTGCAGGTCGTCTTGAGCATCATCATACATGTGCCTGGGGCCAGTGCAGACTCTACATACTACAACAGGCAAGCCCCACAGTCCTTCTCTTGGGGAGACCAAGGAGATGGGGATACTTGAGCTGCAGCAGGACAATGCAAGGGGTAGGGAATGGGGGAGGGCTCAGCTGCCAATCAGGGGTGTGCTGGGCCCGAGAGGAGGCCAGGCTGCAGGCAGAGGTGTGCTGGGCCTGAGGGAAGTCCAGGCTGCAGGGCAGGGGTGTGCTGGCACTTGACAAGTCTGGAATGGCAGCTTCAGGCTGGAAGGCAGGAAGGAAGGTATTGTGGATATTTTGAGAGTGGAAGAAGTATGGTAAGACTGAGATGTCTAAACTGTGTTGCATGGAGTGACAGGAGGCATAATCCATAGGGATGGGGGGGGCAGGAGCATTGAATAAAGGGTGGAGAGAGAAAGGATGGGCTGGGATCCAGCACCATTGTGGGTGGGGCAGACAGTGGATGGGGCTGGCTGGGAAGATGATGAGCTGGACTTAAAGCACCTTGGTGGCCTTGGAGCTGGGGAGGAGCAGGAACCAGGCTTGGAGACATCAACTGTGTGACTCAATAGATGGTAAGTCCTTGTCGACTTAGGCAATGCACCTAAGGTTCCTCCACAGATACAGGAGCATCCTCAACTACCTCCTGGGATGGCTGCAGCTCCAGGCCAAAGGCAGCTTACACAGCCTCCTGGGTAGGGTGCAGAACTCAGCTAGGGCGGGGCAGCCACAGGCCTCTCTGCCCTGCCTCTGCAGACCAACCTCTGCCCTCTCTGTGGGCAACCTCAGCGCCTGCCGCAGCCTCGGCTCCCTTCTGCTTCAGGAAGCTGGGGGGGTGCCTGTCTTTCTGTGGGTACCACCTCCCACCCACAGCTTCCCAGCAGCCCAGGCCAAGGAAAGCCCCCTTCTCCTTCTGCGGTCAGGGCAGCCGTGAGAGAGAGCCATCATCTGATTTGGCAGACCTGGTGCTCTGGATGTGGGGATGTTGGGATGGGTAGTGAGGACTCTCCTTCTGTGGGCTCAGGATCAGCCGTCTTCATCCTCTCTGGGCTGAGGGCAGGGCCAATCCCACCTCCTCCTAGTGTGTATGTATCAGTGTGCTAGGCTGGGACACAATGAAGGCAGCAGATGGTGGCTCTGCCCTCTGCAGCCACAGGCCTGTTGGGAAGGTAGTCAGAGATGCAACGTCACAGAGAGAGTGCTTCCACATGAGCTCATTTTTGAGAAAACACACAACCCTCTTGGTGGCCCCGAGTAGGAAAGAACTAAGCTTTTGTTTTTGAGATTTAGTTTATCTCTAATTAAGTGTGTGGGTACGTGAGTGCAGGTGTCTGTGGGGCCAGAGGCATTGGATTCCCTTTATAGCTGGAGTTACAGGCCATGAAGACCACCTGGCATGGTAGTTGGGAACCAAACTTGGGTCCTACATGAGAACAGTGTGTGTGCTCCTAACCTGGGAGCCATTGCTCCAGCCCTGTGGCATTGAGTTAAGAGTTGAAAAGAAGGAAGGCTAGTTTAGTAACAAATAAATAAATA